CATCATGCAGCGTTCGCCCACATCATGCAGCGTTCGCCCACATCATGCAGCGTTCGCCCACATCATGCAGCGTTCGCCCACATCATGCAGCCACCTCCAACATCATGCAGCATCCTCCCACATCATGCAGCATCCTCCCACATCATGCAGCATCCTACCCTTACAATCATCAGCGCGTTGCCAGCTCATTAGCGAGATTAATTTGCGTCACTCGTCGTGCACCGCTGGGACGCCCGCCGCTGCTCCCGTGACACGCGTGCGGGGGCGTGCAAAGGCACATCCCGTGGGGAGGGGGGAGGGCGGGACTCCTTTGCGGAAATGCGCATGGGGAATTGGTTATATTAGCCACGTGGCGGAAAGGTAATGTCATTACAGGTCAGCGATCGTGTGCGTGATACATTAGAGCTCGGGTTGCGTGCACGCTCGCGTGAGGACGATGGCATCGGTATGGCGGAATGACTATAGATGGTAATAAACGGCCGGGCCGATGTTCTATGGAATGTTATTAGCGCACGCGGCTTGATTAATCGAGCTGTGTGGGACGCATCAGTCTTCGCAGCGCCAACATTGTACAAACACGGCACGGGGCAAAGAGCTTGTGCAAACGGCACTGAGCTCCGCTATAATTTAATCAGGATACAAGCGACACAATATAGATATGATATAATATAGAGCCATATTATGCCACCGCTGCTTTATAAATCCACAGGTTCGGATAATTCACGTGTTTGCGCTATTACGTATATATATAGCTCACTATAGGCTACCTGTAAATTGTTATGAGCCACACCTGTTGTATGATCACTGCAGCTATACTTGTAGCTGTCACCCGTAGCCCAGTACACCCTACCTGCTGCTTAGGATAAGCTACACCTGTACCTCCCTACATACTACCTGTAAGGTGTACCGATCACTCACTACATACTACCTGCACCTCATTATATACTACCTGTACCTCACTCACTACATACTACCTGTCCGGTACCTCACTCACTACATACTACCTGTCCGGTACCTCACTCACTACATACTACCTGTACCTCACTACATACTACCTGTCCGGTACCTCACTCACTACATACTACCTGTA